ATATATATATATATATATATATATATATATATATATATATATATATATGAAGTAGAATTCGGTCTTAATGGGCTATTTGCTTTGGGAATTCGGTCCTTAATGGGCCATAACTTGTGAATTCGGTCATACCTAGACCAAACACACTTCTTGGATTGAATTAGAACCGAACACAACATTGTGAAAAGATTTCAAAAACCGAATTCATGTTATTTCTAGAATTATGGACCGAATTCACCTATTTATGGTGTATATTTATGTTTTAAACCTTTCACTTTTGATTTATATTACATTATGCTAACCTAAATTAACTTAGGTTTGAATCTAGGCTTAATTATTTAGCTTATAAACAAGCCCTTAGGCTATAGAGGACACAATGCAACAACGGTTGCAATGTAGATTCACTTGTGCTAGGTTAGGGTTTGGATTTTACTAGGTTTAAAATTTCGAGTTGTGACAAAACCCCTTAGTTCTTCCTTTGTTGTTGTCTCCAAACGTCACTACAGGGTCATATTTTTCAACAAAATCACTCAGGAGAGACTTACAACCTGTCATATGCCTGGAACATCCACTATCAAGATACCAAAAATGCTCCTTACCCTGCAGCGCTAAGAAAAAAATTAGGACACACTGACCCATTTTTCAATGGGTCTTTTCACTAAAAAAAACATCATAACAAGTAGTGGGAAGATAGTTTAGTGAGTTATCCTTTTTGATCAATTTCTCATTTCTTAAACAAATATTGTCAACTCTCTTAGTTTCTTCACCAAAGGTACACTCACTGATCTTATGAGAATGATCTCCACAACGATAACATAACCCTTACCCCATGTTTTTTTATTTTTGTTGACACTTTTCAAAAATTTGGGTTTCCAAATATTTGTGACTTTTTCATGAATTTTATGAATTTTTGAACACGCCCTAGAAACAAAGGATTTGTCTGTGTGATAGGTTGTGGAGGGGGCATGAGATGCTGATTTACACAAAGATTCATCATTGTCAGAGTAATGAAAATTATCAGTTTCATGACAGTTAACAATACATTCTGGGGACTCACTGAGTATCTCATGTGTGGAGTGAAATTCACATGGAAAACAATCAATCCCATAATGAATTAGTTCATTAGAAATGGGAAACTTAAGATACATTTCAGTGCTTGGGGTGGGAATGTCAAAGGCAAGGTTTCTAATAGTAGGATCTAAAGAGTCAGATGGGTAGTGCAAATAGTGACACCATCAGGATTAGTCGTGCAATGTTTATCAATGAGAGATTGATTTATGAATGAGTGACTAACGAACCTAGACTTAAAAACTTCCTTGAGATCATGAGAAGAATGAAAGTTTTGTTCAGTTTCAATCTGTTTTTTAAATGTTGACAACCGCTTCAATATTTCCACTAAGAATTTTCTCACATTAATCAGGTATTTGGGCATCTATTATTTTATTTAACTTATGATGAGCGTGAGTCAAATTATTCATGATACCTTGAATTTTGTTAGCATATAATTCAGCTCTATCCTTTTTAGAATGAAGATCAATATTGGTAAGAGATATATTGGTGACTTTAGTGTTAGTTAAAGCAAGAGTATTTTCAGTGTTGGACAAGTTTTCCATCAGTGAGTCAATCTCTAACCTAAGTGAGTGTTTTTCTTGGTTAACTTTTGAGATATAATGACATAGATAATTAAACATGATATATTTTTCATTATCATAGTAAGTGATGAACTTGTTTAACTGATATAATGACAAGGAATCCCAGTCCCGAATCTTTGAATCCTTAGTGGATTTTGCCAAATCAGCTTCACTAGATCCTTTGCTTTCTTTATCATTATCTAGAGCATTAGTGCGAGTCATCAAACACTTGTCTTTTCCTCCATACTCATCATATGATTCTTCATCATCCACCAAGTTTTCAACTTCAGTGACTAAGATCTTTACATCAATATTTTGTCTCTTCAAAGAGACCAACAACTTCTTGTATTTTGCTTCATAATCTTCATTAGTATCAACTCTCTTGGACTTGTATTCCCTGGAAAAATGATCAACTCCTCCACAATTGAAACACTTAGGGCCCTCTTTCTTTTCAGCAGCAGAATTTCCTCCAGTGTCATAACCCTTAGACGTTATTGATTCGGTCTTTGATTGAAATCTTTTAAGTCCACAAGATTTCTTATCATTCCGGCTAACATAGCGTTTGAATCTCAGGGCTTCACCTTCAGATTCATCAGAGAAGTCATCGTCGCTATTCTGAGGAGACTTCTACGAATAGAGTGCCACATATCAGTCCTTGTGAGTGTCTCACGTGATTTTCTTTCTCAAAATCTTCATTTTTCATGATTATGAAGATTACCAAACAAGGAAGCAAAATCCATGGTTGTGATTTTCTCACTATTCTTTAAAACATGTACGTGATGCTCCCAACTATCGTTCAGTGAATCAAGAAACTTGAGAACCAAATAGTTTCTAGTATTGTTCATATTAAGTCGACGCATATCATTCACCAAGCCATTAAAACAATTGAATATATGTGTAAGTGTCTCATTCTTTTGTGGAAAAAATGCTGATATCGACGATTAAGATTGTTCTTGTTAACAACATTTACCTCATCGGTACCTTCACAGGCAACAATCAGTGTATCCATCATCTCCTTGGTTGATCGACAGTTCTGAACGAAGTGAGATATGTCATATGGAAGAGAGTTTTCTATAGCAACACGGGCTCTGACATCAAGAGAAACAATACGTTTCTCTTCGTCGTCGAATTCATGAACATGTTTTTCGACTAACTCACCTTCTTTGACATTGTCCTTCATAGGCTGGTACATAGGAACGTGAGGACCGTTTTTGACGATATCTATCATTGAGTAGTCTATAGTTTCAAGGACCATCATTACCTTCGACTTCCACATGGTAAAGTTCTTTTCATTGAACTGTGGAATTTTGTTACCGGAAGTGGTTTTAGTGGGATTTGAAGAAGAGCAAGACATGGTTAATTGATATAGAGAACTTGTTCTGATACCAGCTGTAGGCTCCTTGATCGATATCAATTAACAATAAGAATAAACAAAAGAACACAAAAGAATTAACACAAATGCTTTCACTAAGAAAATGTTCTGACCAAGAGAACAAGCATAAAGCTCTAGGGTTCGATGAACAACCAATGATTTGGACCCTAATATATATAGAAAAGTAAATACGATGTGAATCGCTACAAACCAGGGATATCACCTAATCTACGATAATAATAAAGTATATCCGATATCACTAAGATATCAGATCTGTTAAGTAACTACGTATATTCTACATTTACAAGAGATTACATGCGATGCACATATCACGCTGACACGGCATTGCAGACTTAACTTCACGCCGGCGCTCGTTAGACGCTAACGCTGATTGAGTTTGCGTGACTGTTTTCCATCATCAGATTCTAAGGATTGACCTTACAAATTATTATTATTATTATTATTTATTATAAACTATAAATTATAAAAAAGACAAAAAAAAAGATAATTAAAAATCAAAAATCAAAATGGATGTGATTGATATTAAGATGTAATTAAAGGTTAATCAAAAGTTTGGGGTACAACTAATAATAGGGTATGGGTAGTGATATTTCCATAGAAGATTTTTATATTTCCACTGAAAAAATAAAATAGTGTAATGACAATTATGCCCATGATTTCAATTTATAGATAATTAAGAGAGAGTTTCGTTGTTTCTAAAAAAAATGTTGAGACCAACAAATCATCCTCATTCTGTGCGCACAGGTAAGTGAACTGGGCAATCGAATGAATACTTTGCTTCTGGAAATTTGTTTCAAATGATAACAATGTAACAAGTTGTCTAATCAGATTCTCTCTGCAAATGCCTCTTGTGAACTTCATCGTTTTCCCTGTTCTAGCAATTAATTTCACGGTTGAAATGTAAACTATGATTGAGGATTTCTGGAAAAATTAGCAATTCGCAATTCGGGGTAACATCACTTGCCCAATTTACAGAAACCAGATGATGTTGCCACAAGAAGAAAATCGTTGCCTGATATGAGGTTTTTTGTATGCTTTTTAATGCACAGATATAATTTTGAGTGTTTTTTTCAGGTTTTTTTGGATCTTAAATAAATTAATACTTTAGGAATTGAAAATTGGGGATAACATCAGTGTCTTCTTTTAGATGCTAATTGCATTGCAGGTATGACAAAAGCTTAAAAAACTCTCACATGGCCATTTTCGGACCAAGCTTGTTCAATTCGCCCTTGTTCATCATCTTTTGTTGAGAGAGAGAGAGAGAGAGAGAGAGAGAGAGAGAGAGAGAGAGAGAGAGAGAGAGAGAGATCAGTGTCGCTTATCATACCGATGGCATGGAGAAACACACTTCGACGACCACCGAACAAGTAGCATTGATGGAGGAAGGAGGAAGAAACCGTTCAGAATATTTATGAAAATATAATCAAGGGTATAATTGTCAATAACCAATTTATTCAGTGGAAGTACCGTGGAAATATCACGATATAGGAACACCCTATTAATTTTCTATTTTTTAAATTTTAGAAAACTTCCATAGGACTGCACTACAAACGGGACAACCAAAGCTCGATTTGGTTTAAGTTCAATTTGACAAACTAAACTAAGTTCAAACTCGACTTACTAGCTACACTAGCCCTCTTAATAAAGCTTGAGATAAAATAGCTCCAAAAATGTGCACTAAAACAATCACAAGTTCACAACCCAAAATTATACACCAACTATACTTGCATATTAACACAATCCATCGGGTTTTTTTCTTTAATTCAAGCCCAACGTTTACAAACTCGAACACAATTACATACTTCGAACTTATATTCCCACTCAATCTTTAACTCGACTAGAATTATCAGATAATAAGTTCAACTAGATAAAAATATGATATAAACATCGATCATACAAACACATACTACTACCACAACGGTGTGGAATTCGACCATGAAACAAGCGTATTCAAATGCGTAAACGCCATTCTATAATTAAAATTCCGATCCCCATCAATCACCACCTTCCCCATTTCCTCTTCTTCCATATCATACTCATAAACCGCTTCTCTCCACTTCTTAAAAACTAAAAACCTCCCATTTTTCGTCATGAAAACCGGAATCAACCCTGTTATATCATAATCCATGTTAATCGTACACTTCTTGACCCAAATTTCCTCACATTCGGCCCGTTTCAATGTCCATATTTGAATCCGGTAAACCGTCAATTGAGCAACAAAATTCAACAAATCACCATTCTCAATAAGTCGATCATTCATCCCAGTTGTAACTGGAAGATCCATACGGGAAAACTTTTCCTTGTCTATATCCATTGAGATTATATAATTTACATTATTAGTCCCTGGAAGCCAATAAAGAACCCCACAAGTGGAAACTGGTTTGTGTGTGAAGTCACGGAAGAGCCCGAAAGTGGGGACATGACACCCGGTCCATTGCATTGTGCTTAAGCTTAGTATTTCAGTGTCTATGTGACCCGATTCGTCTCTGAACACGTGTATAGCTTTATATTGTTGGGTTTTAGGGCTGAATACAAACCCGTATGATTCATCACGGGTTTGAACTATGGTTCCGGATTTGAGTGGGAGGAGCTTTCGGGTTGTGGGATTCAAGATTAGTAAAGTCCCGGTTTTGTTTGTCGCTAGAATTAAACCATTACATGTGGCTAAGATTTCGCGGAAACCGGAAATGTTTGGGTCGGTGATTGTGGCGTTTTGGTGTTTGAAATTGAATTCCATTAGATAGATTTGAAGTTTTTGCTTTTTGGGAGGATTTGGGTCGAAGAGTGTGAATTGATTGTTGTTATTGGTGTTGATATCGAATGTATTTGGGCGTGATTCGGAGAATTGTTTAAGAAATGTGAGAACTTTTTCACAACGAGTGGTGTGGGATTCGATGAAATTAGGGCTGCTTATCAGGGTACGCCATGTTTTGCATACGAGAGTTAGCTTTAAGATGTCTTTTGCAGGAAGGAGAAGAAGAATTTTGAAAATTAAGTCGTAGGGAAGAAGTGAGACCTCATTCGCACATCTCTTCGGTGAGCTGTTCATTTGTCCTCAATTGATCGCGTATCTGTTCTAACAAAATATCTGAAAAAATGAATCAATTCTCCAAAATAACAACAATTTTTACAGTTAAGTGGTCAGTACTGATCACTACGATGAATATGAGTCTTTGAATATGAAAGTGAGCATCAAGGTATGAAATCGGAATCGAAATTGTAATCACCAGCGCAGGATCATGATCAGGGTAAAACGCATATCGGTCGACAATTGTTAGAATAGAAGATGAAGATTTATGAAAGCAATCGAAGAAGTTATCATACCTTGTAGTATCAGCAAGTGTGAAGAGAGTTAAATGAGAGTTGGTGGGAGTAGTGATGTGTTCTTTGATTGAAGGAATATTCGATTCAGAGACGATTGCTTGTTCTTGGTGTGATCACCGCTGATGAGTTAGGAGATTAGGATCCAAGTAACCACAGAGATTTCTAGGGTTAGGTGATGCTCTTGTTTTTAGGACAATTGTCACGGGGATCAAGAAGCTTTTGTTTTATTTGAATGATTATTATATATTTTTTATATATATTAAAGTGGCACTTTTTTTTTTTTTTTTTTTTTTATACTCCAACTTACAACATTGACCCTTCATCTTTATGTTTTTGTTTATAAACAACCCTTTCACTTTGGTTTGAATTTTTCATAACCCTAGTCTTTT